TGTATCGTCAACATATCGCTGATACATAGACGGTGCATTGTCGTGATTGAGGAGAGACGACTCATAAAAGCCGACAAAAATGTTGGCCATAGCGGGACCCAAAGGAGAGCCCATAGCTACCCCATCTATCTGTCTGTACATGATATTGTTGAAACTAAACTCCACAGACATAGTAGCAAATTTCATAAGCTCAACAAAAACCATTTCAGGGATATCCGGAGGTGACAAACTACTTCGATATAACATGTTGCAACAAATATCGATCGTTTCCAACACGGGAACACAGGTAAACAGAGAGCATACGTCAAACGAACACATAAATTTATTTTTTGAAGGAGTATCACGAATAATCTGAGCAAACGAAAAGGAATCTTTAATCGTATACGCACTGAAGTGTTCAACAACAGGTTGAAGAAGATTTGAAAGAAAACTAGCAACCTTATGTTGAGACGAGCCAGTCATGGACAGGATGGGTCGGAGGGGTACATTATCCTTATGAATTTTGGGAAGGCCATATAGACGAGGACGAATAGATCCAACAGGTCTAATATCATCCATGATTTCACGAGGTATTAACCCACGTTTGGCCCAAGATAAAAGTTTCTTTTGAAACTTAATTTCTAAAGGAACAGTACGATCATGTGTCTCCACTGGACCAAGAGGAAGAAATTTAGTAGTGTCACTAATAATGTTATGCATTTTAGAGACATACTCAGAGTGATCCAGTAGAAAAATACCAGCCCCCTTATCTGGACGAGTAATTACCAAGTTATTATTTGCCTGTAAATTCCTAACTACAGAACGATGCTGCTGACTCCACTTAGACTCAGAAAGGGCTACCGGAGTTAGCGCATAAGTATGCGCAGAGCTGTTGAGAGTAGCCTTCAAATTAGAAAGCAAGTCAGCAGAACTAGGTACCAATCTACACAACTGCGCAGATAGCACTTCAAATTCGGAAAAAATTTTTTCCTTATCAGGAATCTTAAATGGTATACAATGATCTAAACCATGCGAAAGTATACTAGATTCTAGCTCAGTAAGCTCGTACGTAGACAGGTTGGTGATATATATATATATATATATATATATAATAAAAGGCTTAAACAATAATATTCCATGGTCATAATTTATTCCATTGGAATTGTAAATACGATCAATTTATGAATTGGATCGTATTTACGATTCAATGGAATAAATATATTTCCATGGAATATTAGTGTTTAAAACTTTTTATTATCCTACTCTGTCCTGGACATTGAGTTCTACCTGGATTCTATCCTCTTGGAATTTTGTATTCAAAAAATATATATGTATGTGTATGCATGTCTGTATATATATTTATATATTTTTCATATGTATGTGTATATTTAACACTAATATTATCTATCTATCTATCTATCTCTCTCTCTCTCTCTATATATATATATATATATATATATATATATATATATATATATATATATATATATATATATATATATATATATATATATATATATATATATATATATATATATAAGTGTGTGTACCTGTGTGTGCGTATATTTATGCGTGTGGGTGTGCTTAAACTCTTAAACATTTGGCTGAAATACAATTCAGTCAAACGTGAGCTAAAGTTGATTTTTGGAATACAGTCGGAAATGACTTTTCAGACAGAGCCACATACTGTGCAAATATTAAGGTTTTGGTCACTACAAAAAGTGTAGAAAGCACGCACCTCACTAAATGTTTCAAGTTAATTTATTTGCCGCATGCCAACGCCCGTACGTATATATATATATATACATATATATATATATATATATATATATATATATATATATATACACAAACACACACACAGGCCACTTTAAACATTATTTTTATTTGATACCCGTATTTGCGTAATATATTTATTTGTTTTCACCTGCCGGCCAGAATATACGAGAAATCTAATTGAGAAAAAAATTGCGCCCTTCTGCAGCCTACATCCCTCAGGGGAATGCAAGAATGACTGTCTGTTCTATCGTCACTAAGCAGTAAGGCACGCTGAGCTAAACGGTAGCGAACTCTTTTCTGAGGGACGCAGGGTTAATTCCTGTTTTAGTTCGTTAATAAAATTCTACAACATTCCCACTGGTAGATGAAAATATATAAATACAGAGTGCGATGGTAAAATCACGCAATTTCATATTTTTAAATTCGCGCATGCTTTTGATTTTGTCAACTGCACAGAATAGGAGGGTCAGTTGGCCACCATCTGTGTAACAAAGAGCACCATGACGCAATTCATTCCGCCAGAAATTTGGAAGCAGCCCATAGTACTGCTTGGCATTTGGGTCGGAATCTCCAATACAAATATTTTCGAGTGTTTGAGTGTTTGGAGAATACGGAAGGAGTTGGATGATTCTAATGGCGAATACGGTGGTGATTTGATTGATCAATAGTGACCTTAGCCTCCATTCATCTTTCCACAGGGCCTCAGATACAACACGGAGGCTTACATCAAGTGACTTGATGTAGTGCTACCCTGGCTCAAGAGGGTGGCTGCTGGAAGAGATGGCAAAAGGACACCTCACCATGCCACACATGCAGGAGAACTCAGTTATGACTGTCAGACAATTTCTGGGCCATATCAGCCCTTATATCTGGCCACTCCACGCCCCAAATTGCAACCCCTTTATCATATGTAGGGTCCAACTAAACGAGAGACAAACAAAAGTACTTGTCACACCAAAGATGAACTGAAAGCAAAGATTATGGCAGCATTCACCAACTTAAACAAGGAGACTGTCCAGAAGAGATACAGGAGTTACGGAGACGCCTAGAGCCTGTGGATGAAGCTAGCAGTGATTTTACTCATTAGTATTTCAAGATATTTTTGTGTGATTTCGGCAAGTATATCTATTAAAATTAGATGTCAGTGATATTTTCATTTTTGCGTAATTTAGACGACAATTTTCCAACGCAAACTGTATAGTGTTTAATAAATAAACGCAGCGTCTACCCTAATACGACGTGTATCCAATAAAGATAACGTTTAAAATCACACAAATCTGTCGGATTAAAAAAATACACACACTCTCTCTCTCTCTAAATATATATATATATATATATATATATTTATATATATATATATATATATATATATATATATATATATATATATAGTAATCCGTTGGTATATCATCCAAGTGTATCCTTATAATTTAAAATATTAAAGCTAATGCACAAGAAGAGCTCAATGTTTTATAACAGAGCATATAAATTACATAGAATAGAAATCCAAAATTATCTCATTTGAATAGCTATTTCGGCCTAAACGAAGCCTTATTAACTCAGGAGTTTGAAAAAATTTTCTTTTTCCTCTTTCTCTCTTCTTCTTTCTCATCTTTTATTCTTTAAATGTCTAAATCACCTATTTTATTTCTTCACAACTCTGATTTGATAATGCTTACAAGTAAATCTTTTTAGGGACGAAATAGCTATTCGAATAAGGTCATTTTGAATTTCTTATATATATATATATATATATATATATATATATATGAAGAAATATGGTTTTAAGATGTACTATATTTACGGAATAAAGTGCTCATTATCATTGATAGAGCATATGTAAATATCAATATAAAATTGCGATTGTGTCTAGCATGAAACAGTCTGTCGCCTCTGTGTGTTGACTTCAATATTCTCTTTTCAGATTTTCGATTTTACACTTAAAATTCTTTTTTCAAATATATTCTCAAATTGCCAAGTTCGTGTAAAGATGTCAATTTAGATCACGTGTCTTAATACAACTGAGACGACGCATCGTTTTCCCCTTTCTACACGTGGATAACTTAATATCATTCTTTCCCCTACTCTCTATATGAAATCACTAGTAATGTTTTCCACCTTTATTTGGTTTACAGGTCTGAGGATTTGAAGCTATATCGGCTTCAATGAAATAAATTATCACCTATGGTTTTATAAGTGTTTATTTGTCATTATATATATATATATATATATATATATATATATATAGTTAGACAGATGTGTATGTGTGTATGTATTTCTGCAGCAATCCCTTTTTCATCGAAGTTTCATTGAAGATAACTGTGAAGACATTGTGATTAAACTTCTTATTATATTTGTTTCTGGGAAAAACACGCCAGAAGCCCAGTTATTTTAGAAAAGGCAGGGACAAATGGAATAATCACAATTAAAAAGTAAAGACACTCTTTCCTCCGATTCACTTTGTCTTTGCGGACATACCTGAGTGGAAGATGATATTCCGCCAAGCACCAACTTTCTTTTCCTGGTAGTGGAAACTACAGGAGACGGAAATTCCTTTAAGGGAATAACCGTAATATTTCTTGATGACTGGCCAACTTAATGTCTATTAAGGTATTTCAAGTAGCGTTTCTTCGAAATATGAACTTCCCATCGCAGCTTCTATCTTTGCAATATTGCATTTGTGCCAACGATGTCACTAACAATCTTGAGGACTTCAGTAGTTTTTATGAAGACTCTACATTAATAATTGCGAATGGTGCGAATGGTGAGCTCAATGAAGTGACTATAACACTTGTATATGAGCAAGATTCAACGCCATAAATAAACACCTTAGATTTTATTATACAATAATATAATTAATAATAACCTAACGAAGTCGTAAAAGTTTCCGATCATATATATATATATATATATATATATATATATATATATATATATATATATATATGTGTGTGTTTTTTTATTAGAGTATATGAATACTTGATTGATTCGTTTCCTACGGCTTATCAACACTTTTCAGGTCATTTAAAACGAGAATATATTTTTAGATTCTAAGACTGTTTTGTAAATAATAATGGTTTATTGATACAAGTGTTACTAATTAATCTTTTGCTGGGGGGAAAAGAGGTTGATTAATACGTTTCACAAATGAGTGAATATATCCTAACGGGAATTGGAACTCGGCTATAGGATTAACAATTCCGAGCCATTTTCCATTATACCATCTGTGCATCCACGCTTCTAGCATCTGGTAATCCCAAGCGGTCATCCATCTAGATACTAACCAGGCTCGAAGTTGCTTAACTTCGATGATCGTATGGGAACATGTGTGTTAATATGATGTGGTCGTAAGCATTATAATATTTAACGTTATTAAGAAATATATTGAAAATAACGCATACAGTGCGCGTCGGGCTTCATTATGGAAACTTAAACATCCTAAAGAAATTTAGAATTATAAGTTACATAATTTGATTAAGACTATTATTATAACATTATATATTATTATATATTATATATCATTATTTTGCATATTAATATAAGCTCATTCACTTTAGATAGCATTCACCAAACTTTACTTCAATGATACTGTAATTCTCTCTGTTTAATCTTAAGTTTACTTGAAGTATTTTTTATTTTTTTACCAGATATCGCCTATGACTTATTTTGTTAATCAATCCCTATGTTTTTGTTACAATAAAGTTGTTATGTAGCAATAAATTGTCGCGGCTGACAATGGAGTTTGAACACAGATCGCCAGAGAACAAACACAGTCGATCCTATTATTGAATTAAGTGGATCACATGACTTTGGGGGAAATGCATAAGTAGGAAGTAGCGTGACGTCTAAATGATCCCCATTTCTACTCTATCCTCTATTACTATACGGATCATCATTTCTAGTCTATCCTCTATTACGATACGGCTCGCAATTCTCTATACCGTTATCTATTCGGATCACTATACGAATTACTATTCAGTGATTACTATTCGAGCGAGTATTATCGAGCAAGTACTATTAGTGCGAGTGCTATTCGAAGGCATCTGACACCAGCATTGTTCAACGGCGTTACTATAGTTGTATCTGCGATTACAAAGTCTCCACTACAACGAGCATTTCGAAAGTGACAACGAGTATTCGTTGATATTACAAAAGTGGCAACGAATGTTCGTTGACATCACAATAAAAGTTCACTCTGTACAATGTCCAGGGCCAATGGAGGTCGAGAGTAAGAGGCACAGTTGATGGGAATATGTTAGAAAGATAATAATTAACCCTACACTTGAACGGGTTAAAATTGTAGTGATTGGGAATACATCCTATTGGGAGTCGGTTCCACAAAACAGCGTTTCGTGGGAAGAAACTGCTAAAGTGCAACTTACTTCTTACCCCTGGGATACGAAGGGAATTTGGACTGTTTGCTAAACCGTGAGTGGCATCGTAGGTCTAAGCCGTGGAGGTTAGAAATGCTGGAACTAAGGCATGTAGTTCGTTTGAACACTTTCCATGTAAATATCGACAGGCTTGCAACATTCTGTTTGCGGGAAAGTGGTTGTAGGGTGGAAATTAATTGGAAAGAGAAGACATATATGTCATCAGTACTCAACTTTTGGCCTCATCTGCCGTTTGTAGAGTTAAAAGATAGCAGGGGGTGTCAGGTACTGACTGACAGAGAACCGACTATTTTTTTATCAAAATCATTAGCGATGAATCAACTTATGTTCCACTTGGGGTCTGAGTTGAGCTTAAATCTCAATAGGCGCTCAGGCCACGAGGTATTCATGAGAAAACACCCGTTCAGGCGAAAAGGGCGTACTAAGTGATTACAGAACGTCACTGGTTGGATTTTCCAGGGATTGAATGTAACCATCCAGTTTTTCTCCCACTGAGTTCTCAGAGGTAGCTAGCGGAGAGATCTGCCGGACTCTGTTCATCGAGAGATTTGGAGGCCAATCAATATACCGTTTATGATCAGCATACATATTCACAAATGATCGGAGTATACTCTCTTTAAATTATATATATTATTTAACAAAACATGTTTGAAAGAATTCTTACTGAAAAAAATACCCTTTATATATGAGATGAAGATACATGAATTTTTATATGCCTATATTTGTCTGTGTGGAAGAAAGAGAAAGAAAAGAAAGAGACTTGAAATAGAAGGACATGTACATCTTATTTAGTGATGAACCACAAGTTCTCTACTGTAATTCTATCTGCGAAGACTAAGAGAAATTCCATTAGACTGGTATCTTTGAATTAGTTTTTCGCAAGGTGGAGATTAGTAATGATTATAGCCATTTCCTCATAAGGAAATATTCAGTATTCATTGATCTTTTAGGCCGTGCTACATTCGGTTGAAATTTATAAAATCGTTGTCGTAAAACTTAAGATTTTGTGTGAAAAATCACTTTCTCAAATCAACTGTTATTGGCCCTTCCCGTATTGACGGGGGCTTCCTTCCTAACCTCTTATGTAGAGTCGTATCGAATGTGAAAATCTTCATAATGCTATTATTTTCTCTTCGACTTACCTGTACTGCCTATTTCAACTGTTACCTTTACTCACTTGAGGACTTTCAAGTCCTCAAGTGATGTGGTTTCTGTTATTTGGTACGGTTCTGTTTTATTCTGTAGTGGCCGCCCACAAGGTTCGAATGAGAATATTACTCGCTAAAAGATGCAACCTTCATGCACTCGAAGCCAGTCTTAAACGCTGATCTGAGATTGACTGATTGATTTGTATTTTTACTGTTTGTCAACCATTTAGGGATATTTACAGCCGAAAGATATTAATTAGATTGTAATGATAATTTTTTTTTTTTTGCGTGTGAATAACAAATTAATAATTTTTTGGTGATAACGATTATTTTTCGGATACACGTTCTACTATTTAATCCACAGCTAGGGGGAAATAGTTGTATTCATATCTTATTCAAGGGAATGTAACGACCTCCACTGGAATTCGAACTCAGATCTCCGAATTTTCTTTCCGAATAGCTAACATTCACAACATCCACACATTTCGATTGATCTGAGAAGGCGCTTGCATCCGGCTGACAGTTTAGATATTTCTGAACCTGTCTAGTGCTGTGCGTGACATTCGTATGAAAGTTTCGATCTGACGAGGCTATAGATGAACATGCCTCGAATTTTGGTTTTCTAGAAATATGTCTTTTTGGGTGAAACTACCAATTTTTTGATCCCCTAGACTAAATTTGTTATAAACGAATGATTATTTGATCTGTTTTTATGGCTTATCAACACTTTTCAGGTTATTAAAAGTCGGAAAATAATTTTTAGTTTGTAAGGATTACTTTTAGAGATAATAACGGTTTTACTGATACATGTTTTACTAATTAACCCATAGCTGGAGTAAAAGATGTGGATTCATACCTTTCCCTTGGGTATTTTCGCGTAAGTGAATATAACGAACCCAACTGGAATTAGAACTCCGTTGTTCGGTTAAAAATTCATCATTACACCAACCGCACATCCCCACTTACAGCACCTGGTATTTCCAAGTGGTTTCCCATCTAGGTACTGACCAGGCTAGACTTTGCTTAACATCAAGATTTATACAGGAACCGATGTATCAATTTGAATTTGTCGTAAGCCTTGTTGTAACTAATCCAAATACAGAGGTATTTTAAGTTTGAATGAATGTAGTCATTAGCATAAAACTTCTTGGCTATGAGTTTTATCCATAAAAAAATACTTAGATGAAAAGCTACATTGTCTATGTTTATCTTGTCATCAACATCAATTTTGAAGAAACTTATTATTTTAAAGTTTACAATACAAGCAACAAATATTATTGCGCCCCCAGCATATTGTCTTCTAGCAAGTTTTCTGCGCTTTCGCTATTACCATGCATCATAACCCATTAGTAAGTATTAGGTCCGTCCAATGTAGCTCTAAATTAATAAATAACACTTTTTACGGCCGTAGCTCTACATTAATAAATAATATTTTTCCCTTTGGTGCGTGCCGAGGACAAAACCGCGCCGCGCATATGAACCCGCGCGCCTCCACATCGACGGACCGATCGACAGCTAGCGGGGCGATATTGAGCAAATTTGGAAGTTAAGACAATATCAGCGTCGTCAGTCGCACACCAGCCGCCGACGTATCGTTCATGATGAAAAAATGTTGTTACACAGGTCGGTTTTGTCGTTAAGACATCATTTTTAGGCAAACAAGCTTCTTGCGACCAACTAAGCATATAATGTGTGTTTTTTTTTCTTTTGCTGAACTTATGTGTTCCTCTTTGTGATGTTTACTTGAACATGGAATGTTTTATATGTTTCGTAATGTACTGCATCTTTGTTTCTCTTTACATTCTCAGCCCTATTTTCTTCAAATTTTATCATGCTGGTCAACTCTGCTTTCTTTCTTATCATTCTTTTTAAGTTCGGGATAAATACTTCAAAATAATTGTGATTATAATGGCAAAGTTCTCAATTAATTTTCTTGAGAGTTCTAAGATATCTTTTCATCATTTTCGCAATTACAAAAATTGTGTCCAGCTTACTAATTAAATATAAAATGTATTATTTCCCTTCTGAAATTATGTCTCTGATTATGTACGCTGATTCCAAAACAGGCAAATGATAATCAATGTTAAGAACTGTAATTTACAAATTCAGATGTCTGTGCGATGCTATTTAGGCAGATTGGGTCAATTTTTGGAAGCATAGATCAACCAACACGTACCAGCAAACATTTGCAAGGGAACGGCTGACAAATTACATAGGTGAATCAATATAGTGATTTTCCAAGTGTAACTTAGATGTGGCACAAGGCCGAAATCATGGGTCTCCTAGTGAAGATCGAACTCACTAGCGAGACAAGCTTGTTAACCATTACACCAACTCGATGTGCTCCGGGGTGAATTAATATATCATGTTCAGCGATAGCAGAACCATTGATTAAAAGCTAGCAGTATACCAGTATACCAGTATACCAGTAATGAATAGCGGTTAGGATTGAGGATTCGGAGAGACGAGTTCAAATTCCAGTCGAATTCACTTACGTGCTAATACTCTTGGAAAATATATGAATCATCATCATCTAGCTATCGGTATATAGCAGGATAGACCCGGTTCTATAGGCTTGGATGGCAACTGATCTACCGCAGAAAGAAATGGCAACCTAGTGCGGGAAAAAATCTGCCTCGTCAGTCATGTATCGAAAGATACATGATCGCCTAAGCGTGTATCACGCATGGCACATAACTGACTGATACCCGTTTTGATATCTTGGAGATGATATTGATTTTGAGTAAAGCTAAAGTTATATGGAGACTGGAATCTGGTAAACAAACGAATGGAAGGACAAGTAGCCAG